CGTAATTTGCAGGCTACTGTTCTGTTGCAATGCTTGTTGCAGACTGAAGCGGCAGGTCTTCCAAATTACCTTTTGAAAACTTTTCTGGCAAAGCTTATTCAAAATAAAACAAGAAAACCTACTAACTTATCAGGCATATCTTTCCTATGGCACCTAAGTTAAAAAAAAAAAAAAAAGCGGCTGTCTTCCTTGTATTTCTATAGAAAACATTAAAATTATATATTTTCAACAAGTCATTTAAAAAAGAAACACACAGCAAGGCATGCATCTTTCTCCTTAAATAACTCTAAAACCATAATGTATTCCGTTCACTCTTCTTTCTGTTTCATGGGCTCCCTTATTCTCACATACTGTACTTTGTAATATTTTTCCTTTGATGTTTATGGTCATTGCTCTCTTCTGCAGTTCTTACACAGTATGGGTATTCATCACTAACTTGTTCAGTACTACCCAACCATTTTCTAACAAGTTTGTACCTTGAAAAATACATTCATTTTTTTTACCTTCTTGTAAATTACTCATGAGTTTACTTTCACTTACTACATCACTTCCTTTCCATTTATGAACTATGGAATTTTACCTAACTTCTTTTAATCTATTCTCCTGGAAAGCTTGCACACAAAATTTGTGAACAAAATTGCCTCTCCCATTTGACATTTTAAAGCATTCTTTTCCTTTCTTTTATGCTCTTTCTGACAACTGGACTACAATAGCACCAAAATAAACAAGGAACAAATACATGTAGTTAATATCTTTGAAAGATGCAATCTTGAAAAATACATTGGAATGGAACAGTACCCAAGTTAGGAAAAGCTGCTATGGTCTTATCCACATACAGTCCATGCACTACCTGTACAATATAGTCCCAATGAAAAATTACATATTCACTGCACTTGCTATTAGCAGTTCAAAAATAGCTGATACAACAGCACGTGCTATCCTTTATTTCAAATGTAATTTGAATTTCTAGAAACTAAGAAGTTTCATGCATAATTTTTTAAAAAAACAAAAAAAATGGAACTTCCTGTCCTTTTTAAAAAAGGTTTATTACTGTAACTGTCAGCTAAAGCAAGACAAGACCTGGCATCTGTTTATGTAGGAATACCTGGGTTTTTTTCCAAGTCATTTTCCATATGATTTATAAGTTGGCCAAGGCAGAGCAATTCAGATGTGTTTCCACAGGCAGGAAGTCAAACCCAAGCAATCAGCAAGCATGCACTAGCATGCTGTTCTTGCACACCCTGTTTCTCATCCCAGTGACATCTGACTATTTGCCACTTCCTCTGAGACACTTCCTCTGTGTTGGAACATATACCGAATATGCTGTTAGAAATCATTAACCTGCTCGTTCAATTCCCAAGGCCTAGAGCAGTGTTTCTCAATCTGCACAACTTCCAGATGTGTGGACTTCAACATCCAAAATGCCACAACCAGAGTGGCCATTGTCAGGAATTCTGGAGTGGATGACCACACATCTGAAAGCTGCCTAGGGTGGGAAACACTGGCTTTGAGGCGAAGGGAATGAGTTTGCAGTTAGTTTAAGTCTATCCTGTAAGCATATACAGAGATTCTTGTCTTCTCATTCTTTCTTGACAGAGAATCAGCCATCTAGTTCTTGTCATCAGCATTTCATTGACCAGTTCAGGGAGCAGCTGATCCAGCGAACTACTACGGTGGAACCAGTGCTAGATAGATTGTATGGTTCTCTCCTAAATGAAGAACAATACCAAACAATCTGCTCACAGGAAACTAATCCGGAGAAAATGCGACAGCTCTATAAGTTAGTGCCCGGCTGGAATCGCTTTTGCAAAGACCAGCTATACAATGCACTGAAGGCCATAAATCCATTCCTCGTCGAGGACCTGGAAGGGAGATGAGGCAACAAGGGAGATGGAAAATAGAATCATTCCAGGATACAGGAAATCCAGCTCTATGCTATGTAACACCAACAGACAAAACCTTAACGTGTCTTTCCCATGCATCCACTTTGGTCCAAGTTGGAGATAAAGAACTGGGATCCTCCATACATTCAAAACCTAACCAGCATGCTCAGTGGAAGAGGACTAAAAACTTCTCAAGGGTAGCAGATCATCTACTACTGGTCCAGATAGAAAGATACAGAAAGACTGGCAACCAAATATTAGATCTCATACTTAGGGTTATCTGGGAGAGAAGGGAAGGTGGCTGTTTTAAACTTACATCCTTATATTCCATTGGCAACTGCTCTTAATTATAGATCTAACTGATAAGTCCATACATTTTGTCCAACTTTTCATTCCTTTGGACTCTCTTATTTTATGAATATGAAAGTTCAGATGTCCTTCCTGAGATGTTTTACATTTTTTTAACAACTTTTTCTTTGAAATCATAAGCACAGACTAATTGGGAATCCATATATAGATTCTGATGTCTAAAAACAAAAATTTATTCCACTTTGCTTAAGTATTTTACTGTGTGTTTCTCTTAGAATAAAAAAGTATTACTCACCAGTACTGGTGCAAAGTCTGGACAAAGCAGCTGCAATTACATCTTCCCTGGATATGTTCAGTACTGAAATGGCTCTCCTGCAGGACCAACCATCTTACAACTGGACTTTAAAGCCTCTTAGTTGTGATAAAGGAAAATTCCTGATTACATACAGATATTATAGGATGGATTTAGCACTGACGTCGTATTGATTGCACTTGTTGATGACCTTTGGCAGAGCCAGAATGGAGATGACACTACCATCCTGGCCTCCATGATCTTTCAGTAGCTCTCCATACCATTGGTCATGGCATGGTCATTCTGGATCAGCTGCAGGGAGAGGGTTATGATGGTGTTATAATGGAGCTGGTTCCAGTCAGGTGGGAGAGGTTAAGCCGGACGTCCTTGACTTGCACAGTGCTTCAGGGCTTGATGCTCTCGCCCCTCTTATTTAACATCTATATGAGGCTGTTGGGGGAGATCCTTCATTGGTTCAGAGTCAGATATTATCAGTATGCTGATAATACTCAGTTGTACATCTCAACTCCTGATCAACCAAGTGATGCTGTCAAGTGCCTGAAGGCTATTGTGTTTTGGATGGGGAGGAACAGGGCCCAGGCTCAACCCTAGCAAGACTGAATGGCTGTGTTTAGTCCTTGGTTCTGGGGACTTTCCAGTCTTGGTCCTGAATGGGTTGCAATCCCCTGGTTGGGAGTGGTGCACAATCTGGGGGTCTTCCTGGACTCTTAGCTCATTCTTGAAGAGTAGGGGGCAGCTGTGAGCAGGAAGGCCTTTGCACAGGTTCATCTTGTGTGCCAGGTGCATCTATTCCTAGATCAAAGACCTTCCTCGTGGTCACTCATGCCTTGGTCACCTCACACATGAACAATTGCAATGCACTCTATATGGGCTGTCCTTGAAGTCTACTCAGAAGCTACAGCTGGTCCAGAATACAGTAGCATGAGTAGCGATGGGCAAGCCTCATTATGCCCATATAGCACCCATGGTACATGAGTTGCACTAGTTAACACTTCTGGAGGTAATTCAAGATGCTAGTTGTCATTTATAAAGCCCTACATGGCAAAGAGCCTAGCTATTTGAGGGAATGCCTGCCTCCTCTAGGGTCTGCCCATCCTGTGGCTTGCTTCAGGGCCCCGTCAATCAAACAATGTCATTTAGCAGGACCCAGGAAGACTTTGCTGTTGCGATACCTGCTTTTTGGAACAGCATCCCCTCAGAGGTCCAAACAGTCTCTAATTTGCCCAACTTCAAGCTATTTTAAAAATCTGGCTTTCCCCCAGACTTGGATTAGGATGTTTGAGTGGGCCTTTTTAAGTTGGAGGTGTGTGTGATGTGAAAGAATGGCATGTTGATCCCTTGGACGATTGTCTTTTTACTGTACATCATGCTGTTTTGTAACTTCGTGAAGCCAGCCAGAGCCATTTTGGATAGCCTAGAAATCCAGTAAATAAATAAATCATAAATACTAGATAACCAAGGGCCAAAGATACATTTCTGAATTTATTTCTTTTTGATAAATTCTTTTCTGGGCATACAACTTATGAAGTCTATTTTCCACTAAGTCCTTAGTGTAATTGTTCTTATGCACTTTCTCTTGTTTTCAAAGCTTTTTGTGCTTCTGACCATCTGTTCTTTTCTCCCCCAATGCTAATTTTTTTCTCATTATCTTTGACTGTTTTTCTTTCACAGCTCCTTCTCATTCAGCACCAGCATTTTCCTTTCTACTTGTATCAAAACTTTCATATTATTTCAGAAAGTTTTCCTTCAAAAACTCCTGTGTAGAGGATTAGTGGAAGAAAAGTGGAATACTAATAAGAAACAAATTGTCTAGTATCTGGCAGCCATTATTATTAAGCTTGACTGTATAAATGTCTTGTGGTAGACTGTGGCTATTATTTCCAGACCCCTCTGCTCTGTTTTCCAGCTGGTTTTACTTCAAAAGTTTCTTATATATTAACTGAGCAACTTCTCCCACTGGCTTGAAAAAATCAGATGAAAAATTACAACAAAATCCCCTCAGGGATTCACATCCCTCAGCTGCTACCACAGATGGGTCAGCTGCTCCATCCTGTAAAACATTTATATTTCCCCCATTCAAAATAGTGTATTAATGTATCCTGCTTGGTCTTTTCAGGAGAAAAATATTTTTTTCTTTCTTCACTTGTTACAGGCAGGCAGGTGTTATTCTGTTGTCACGATGGAGTTTTCTTGAACTGAGTTCCCTGTTTCTCCTCAGTAAACTTGAAAGAGAAATGTATTTTCAAGGTGAAAGGTAACACTTTGATTTCTGAGGTAATTTGCTTTTTGTATGAATCCATAAAGTATCTCAGAGTCCGCAGAAACAGGGCTAACACTCTTTGCAGCAATATTCTCTGCTCCTTCTGAGACATTATAGTATTTTTTAAAAATTGTGTCTCCTTATTTCACCAGTATACCGCTATCCCAGCCTTCTTACTCTGAGACTGGTTTGACTCAACTGACGGTTGTTTTAAGTAGGACACTTTGTTCCGTGCCCCCTGCAAGGGGTTTCCCAGTTTGGTGACAAGGGCTATGAAATACCAAACTGCACGGAAATCAGATTCTTCCTGCTGAAACATAATCAAATGAGTATCATCGCACTCCTGTCCTCCATGGACATTTTTAGCCCCTTCTTAACACTCTAAAATTGGTGATAATCACCATGGGGGCAACTAATTTCATATTTTGTCATTTAAAGAAGTATGTCTTTTTCTTGGTCAGAAACCTCCTTGAATTTAACTTCAGTGGGTGGTCTCAGATTCAAATACTATCAAGAATCTATGCTGGTCTGTGACCGAAATAAAATTGATTGGCTATCAAGAATAAATCAATGTTTTCTGCTCCATGATTCGTTTTCTTTCTTTTGAAGCCAGACAGGCCCAGTGCTGTAGTTTTCTCTCCTATAAGTTGCTAGTCCCTAATCTTTTAGTTGCCCTTTTATGCATCCTTTCCAATTGTACAATCTTCTTTTTTAAGGTCCAGTATCCAAAATTATAATTAGCATTACTATCTGTGACTCCCCAGATTTTTTCCTGGCCAATCATTGCCAGCTTAGACCTATCAGGATATGGGAGGTTTGGATTTTTTTTATTCTAATAACTATCACTTGTTGTCATTGAACTGATTTCAATTTTAATGCTCATTTGCCCAGCTTTGAGATTCTATTATAGTCCATTAGAATTTCTCTCTGTTTTCCAATGCAGTACTGAATATTTTAGGTGTTAAAAGGCATGCTGATGGGAAGTTCCAGAAGTTGACTACAGTACATTTCTGGGAATAGTGTGTCAAATGCCTCTATTCTCAACAGTGTACTATAGTCAAGTTCTAGAATATGAAGATTATTGAAGGACCCTAATTTTGGAGAAACCATATTTTCCAATTTTGGCTATGGGGTTTCCAAGTCTAAAATGTATATTTTTATGTAACTAGAAGAAAAAAGCCTATTTCAGCAAGTCTTTCTTATATAGAAAAGATAGATTTGGAAAAGAATGTCTGTGGATGTTTCATGGGGTATTTTTGGATTGTTTTAAAACAAATAAAAATGAAGTGCCTTAATTCCACCTCATGTTGTCTTCTTTGGGATTGTGGGTATTATGGTAGTGTGACTTTGCAAATTAAGAATTTCCTTGGGGACCAGACTACAGCAATCTTGGAAACATAGTCTTAGGTTTTCCTCAAAATCTATTACTCAGTGGCATCTAGAATAAAATCCTAATCCTGCAATTTTATTTAGAAGTCCATTAGAGCTCAGTGGAATTCATTCCTAGTGAATTAAGCACTGCAGACTGTAATTCTATCTGCTTGTGGGGAGAAAACAGTTTTTCTGCTCTGCTTTCCCTTAGGAATAATCTGCTTGTAGGCACTGCAGCAGGAGCTACAGAGTTAAAAGAAAGAGGGCCCAGCTGTTCATTGCCAGCTTTGCTCAAAAGGCTGGGAAGGACAGATTTATTTTGCCAGAGCTCTAAATTAATTCTCTGTGAATGTACTGTGAAATTAGGAATTTAAGAATTTAAAAGTATGCCCATCCTTGCTGCTTATATTTTCATTGGAGTACATTTCATACAGCTTGCTATTGTGGAAAAGTAAAACCTCCTTTAAAGCAAACTCATCCTGGGAATGTCAGAGAGATGTCCTTGTAGTTTTCTTGGTAGCTATATGGAAGTGATTTAACACTGTTTCTTCAGCTTCTCAGTCTAGTTTACAGCCCTGGTATTCTCTGGAGGTCTTTGATCCAAGTCTTAACCAGGCCTGACTGTGCTTAGCTTCCAAGTTCAGACAACTATTGTATGGATGTTATACAGTATATGGGTTCTATTTACATCCTGTTGCATATCAATGGGAAGGTTACTTATGACTTACAAACCCATTTGTACCATGGACCTAAGAGTCATTGGCTTCAAAAATCTAATAGGGACTATGTCCTTTTGCACACACCGGATCAGTATCTCAACTGTTTAAGACATGTGGACTTCAACTTCACAAGTTTAAGAGATGTGGACTTCAACTCCCCTACTGGCTGGGGAATTCTGGGAGTTGAATTCCACACATCTTAAACTTGCCAAAGTTGAAAAACACTAGTTTAGGCAATCTTCCTCCACTCAACATGCCTTAACTAATCTAGACAATTAGGAAGACTGCCAGATGATGGAAATGCCATTTAAATATTGAGCATTAATTCTTGAGAAGCAACCAGGGTCCAAGACCAATCTGTAAACATAATAAATACCATGACTGAAGACACCATGGTTTTTATGCAGTGGTCAAAACCCTTCAGTGCTGCTTCATTTAGTACTCCACCAGAACAGTTTCAGAACTGCTTGTGGCCAGAAGTGTTTGTCTATGTCTGAGTCAAATGAGTTCTCCACCTCCCTCCCACCCACCCCTTCCGCTCGGATGCCAAAGTCTGCTTTTGTGCTGAAAGAAAAAAAATAAGCACAATGGCGAGGTCGTCTTGGGCAATTAATAGGCGATATTGGGCCCTGTTGCTATTAGGGAGTTATGCAGCATGCCTGGCCCGGGAACAACTGGTCGAAGCCACGGCAGCCGGTTCCCCTCCCTCTCGTGCAATTCCACTTCCCCTCGGCTCCTTCTCCACAAGGAGGATAAAGGCGCTCCGCCTGCACTGGACCCTGCGGGGATATTTTTCCAGGAACAAGGCGGCTCTGATCCCCCCCCCCCCC